TGAGCGTTTCCGCTCCGACTTCCCTGTCCTGCGTCTGCACTCTGACAGAGGTGGGGAGTTTTCCTCTGGCCTCTTGGAGGCCTTCTGTCAGCAGGAGGGCATTGAGCAGTCGTTCACGCTTCCGGCCTCTCCACAGCAGAATGGGGTTGCTGAGCGCCGCATTGGCTTGGTCATGGAGGTCGCTCGTACCTCCTTGGTTCATGCGGCTGCCCCCCACTTTCTGTGGCCGTTTGCAGTCCGATACGCTGCGCATCAGCTCAACCTCTGGCCCCGTGTCTCCTTACCGGAGACTTCTCCGACACTGCGTTGGACGGGAGAGGCTGGCGATGCGTCACGTTTTCGGGTCTGGGGATCTCGAGCTTTTGTTCGCGATACGTCCGCGGACAAGCTCTTCCGTCGCGCTGTCCCCTGTGTCTTCCTTGGCTTTGTCCCGGACGCGCCTGGTTGGCAGTTCTACCACGCCACCTCGCGTCGTGTCCTGGCCTCTCAGGACGTCACTTTTGACGAGTCCGTCCCCTACTACCGCCTCTTCCCCTACCGCACTGCCCCGCTCCCCCCCCCGCCTCTCTTCCTCGCTCCAGGTGCTGAGGTACCAGACCCCCTCCCCCCTCAGGGTGCCGCTCCCTCAGGTGTGTCCCAGGTAGACCCGGTTGAGCCTGTCGAGGTAGCTGTTGACTCTCGTCCTGCTGGGGGTGCTGAGCCTGACCGTGAGGAGTCTGAGGGTACTGAGCCTGGGGGTGCGGAGCCTGGGGGTGCGGAGCCTGGGGGTGCGGAGCCTGGGGGTGCTGAGCCTGGAGGTGCTGAGCCTGGGGGTGCTGAGCCTGGGGGTGCTGAGTCTGGGGGTGCTGAGTCTGGGGGTGCTGAGCCTGAGCGTGCTACACCTGGAGGAGCCCTCTCCTCCCGGCAGCTGCAGGAGAGGTACCTACAGTACTGCCGCCTCCGGAGAGGTGCTACTGGAGCTCGTACCAGTACTTCCCCTCCTGCCCAGGAGCTCCCCCCCATTCAGCAGATCCGAGAGTGGTACACACGGCGCTGCAGTCTTCGGAGTGGTGCTCCTGGTGCTGCGGACCCTGGGGGTGGCGCTGCTACTGGTGCTGAGGACCCGGGCGTTGGAGCTGCTGCTGGTGCTGCGGACCCGAGCGGTGGCGCTGCTGCTGGTGCTGAGGACCCGGGCGTTGGAGCTGCTGCTGGAGCTGAGGACCCGGACGGTGGAGCTGCTGCTGGTGCTGAGGACCCGAGCGGTGGAGCTGCTGCTGGTGCTGAGGACCCGGACGTTGGAGCTGCTGCTGGTGCTGAGGACCCTGCCGCTGGTGTCTCTGCTGGTTCTGGAGACGCTACGCGGCCGCGACCGTACTTCGTACCACTTCTTCAGCAGGTTCTTGGTCAGGCTCCTCCTCCTTGTCCTCCTCCCTCCGTAGAGTGTCCTCCGCCTGTCCAGTCGCAGTCACAGTTCCCGCCTGCCTCGCCTCTCCCTGGTCCCTCTCCTTACACTGGTCCCACAGGAGGTCTTACAGAGCGTCGTGAGCCTGAGTCTCGTCCTGCGTCGCCTGTTCGTACTGCTCGCACTGGTCGTCGTGTCCCACGTGAGCGTCCTCCTCCTGTCCCTGGCACTCACTACATGACTCTGCGTCCCTCCACTGCTCCTCAGCGTGTTCCGCTGCCGTCTCCTCCTGCGTCCTCTCTGCCTACTCTTCCTGATCCGGAGTCTGACTCCCGTCGTGCTGCCAGTCCCACTGTCACCTGTCTCCTCGCTACTGTTGTCACTGACCCTACCTTTGAGTCCTCTGCTGCGTCTGCTCTGGTCGCTGAGTTGGTTGACTTTGCTGCCCGGTGTCGTCTAGACTACGCCACTAGTCTTGTTGCTGAGTCTGAGTCTAAGTCTGTCTGTCCTCCGTCCGTCGGGGGTGAGTGTGCTCTTGGCATGGACGTCCTTGAGGACAGACAGGAGGAGTTCCAGTGCTTTGCTGCTGCTTTACCCCACCTCGTGTCCATGCTAGTTGCCCCTGAGGGAGACCCGGATGCACCAGACATCCCGACCCCGCGCACTTACGCTGAGGCGATGGCGGGTCCCTACTCCTCTCAGTGGCAGACAGCCATGGACGCAGAGATGGCTTCCTGGAAATCCACAGGCACCTACGTCGACGAGGTTCCCCCACCTGGGGCGAACATCGTCAGTGGCATGTGGATTTTCAGGGTGAAGCGGCCACCGGGTTCTCCTCCTGTCTTCAAGGAGCGCTACGTGGCTCGAGGCTTCAGTCAGCGAGAGGGAGTTGACTTCTTCCAGACCTTCTCCCCCACCCCGAAGATGACCACTCTTCGGGTGCTGCTGCACATAGCCGCTCAGCGCGACTACGAGCTTCACTCGCTTGACTTCAGCACTGCTTTCTTGCAGGGCAGCCTGCACGAGGAGATCTGGCTGTGCCGCCCTCCTGGCTTCACTGGCTCGGTTCCTCCTGGTACCCAATGGAGACTTCAGCGGCCGGTCTACGGTCTCCGCCAGGCACCGCGTGAGTGGCACGACACACTGAGGACGACACTTGCGGCTCTTGGGTTCGCTCCCTCTACTGCTGACCCGTCACTGTTTCTACGCACAGACACCTCACTGCCGCCGTTCTACATCCTCGTGTACGTCGACGACTTGGTCTTTGCCACTGCTGACACCGCGGCACTCGCCCACGTGAAGTCAGAGCTGCAGAGGAGACACACGTGCACAGACCTAGGTGAACTGACAAGCTATCTTGGCTTGCGGATCACCCGGGACAGAGCACGGCGCACCATCACCTTGACTCAGTCACACATGGTGCAGCAGATCCTTCAGCGCTTCCGCTTCACGTACTCCTCGCCTCAGTCCACTCCTCTGCCTACCGGTCACTCGCTCTCAGCTCAGCCTTCGGATGAGTCCGTAGAGCCGAGTGGCCCGTATCCAGAGCTTGTGGGCTGCCTCATGTACCTGATGACCTGCACTCGACCTGACCTTGCATACCCTCTTAGCATCCTTGCACGCTATGTCGCTCCTGGCCGTCACAGGAAGGAGCACATGGATGCCGCTAAGAGGGTGTTGCGCTACTTGTGCAGTACGTCGGGCATGGGGCTACATCGGCGCGCTTCCATTCGACCGCGCCGCGCTCTACCTGCTTGTTACCAGTGGCGATGTCGCAGTAACCATCGGCGGCGAGACCTTCTGCGAAGACTACTGTAGCAAGAGCTCGACGCTTGAACTGCGGGGAGCCGATGGGTCCTTCGGAGTAGCCAAGTTCATTCACGCTGGTGATGTCGCTGCGCGCTGCCCCGACCGCTGCACCTTCCGGGCCTCCCGGGAAAAGTAAGTTCTCCGCGTGGCCCCTCTTTCCCCTTCGGGAGACTTGTTCCCTCGTTTCTCCACCTCTCCCTCCTCTCTCCCCCCTCCCCCCCCCCCCCCCCCCCCCCCCCCCCCCTCCCCCTCTTTTCCCCCTCCTCTTCCTCCCCCTCCATCTGCTCATCTTCTGCTGTCTCCATAGCCCCAATATGCTAAAGTTCTCCTTCATTTCTTTCGAAATTGTCAATCTGCCCTACACATGTTCCGACCGCCCGTACTTACCACTTCGCTCCCCCGTTTCTGTCACCCGCAGTGAACCCAATCCCCTCCGCCATCTGCTTCGCCACCTTGGCTCGGCAATCACCGAGGCTCTTCCCGGACCTGCTGCCATGCCCATCACTGCATCCCAGTATCTTGAACGTGCGGCCTTCCTTCCAGCCACGGATGTCGAGCCATCTGCATCTGGTTCTCCAGTGGAGCACGAGGGAAACTCCTCTGCCACGCCCACTACAACCGCCAAGACATGTGCCGCTTTTCCAGCAGAGACCTTCATTCGTGCTATCACGTTTGGAAGCAACTCCTCTGGCGTTTTTTCAGTTGCACAGACGGGTGACATGGCTACGTGCGCTGCTACTTCTGTGGGAGCCATGGCCGTGCCTCCAACAGTTGCTGGCCGGGCCAAGTGAAAGCGAAGATACAAGGAGCACTATGGGACGGTGTCACAGGTGTTTCAGTGCACACCACCACTCTTTATTGTAAATACTTGAGGAGGCGAAGCGCTTAGCCTGCATACGGTATGTATGCATTGAGGTGTGGTGTGGTTTGGGGCTGAGTTGTTTAGTTCTTAGAAGTTAGAACGTCTTGTCTTGCTCCTTCAATACGGAAGGAGGATTTAGCCCCCAAGCAATGTTGTGGTTTTGGTTTCAATCGTTGTCCATTTACTGTATCCTCCCTGGATATAACGCCATGGGTTTTCCCTTGATTTTTTTGTAGAATGAAGAAATATGGGAACTGTACTGTTCTATCACAAGTTGTCACCTGTTGCAGCAAATCAAGCTTTATTACCATAGCACAAGTCATTCGCTGAAACTAGGGAGACTGACAGAGTTGACATCCTTCATCACTTCGCCCACCCCACGCTGTAGTGATTTGCAAGTAAACTGCTCCCCAGGAAAGGTAGACCAGGTTGAATCCGCTTGGCCTGTGGAAGGAGGCAGATGGCTCTAGACCAGAGAGTTGACTGCCTGGCAGTGCATCCTGTGAATCCACTCTCAGTAAACCGGGTGGCAGAGGAACACCCTCCTGCTGCACTGCTGGCACGACTGGCAAGCAAGCCGTCAGCAGCACCTCCTTTGGGTAACGCCCAGAGGTGATCCCTGATGCTGTGCAGTGCAGATACCACCCACTTCATGTCTGTTCGCAATGACGGTGCTCTGCCGTGCACCACAGCGCCACCCGCAGGAACGTGCCAAATGTATCCTCCAGCTTCGCCGCCACCTCCCCTGCACTCACTTCCGCACCAGCACCTGCAGCGCCACAACCAGCCCCGGCAGCACAACCAGCCCCAGCAGCACAACCAGCCCCAGCAGCACAACCAGCCCCAGCAACATCACAATCAGCAGTGAAACAGAACACCGTTTAATGCAGCAGCAGCAGCAGCAGCAGCAGAAGAAGAAACACCGTTGCAAGCACTGTTGGCTTACACCTAAAAATGGAAAAGCTCAGAGAGTTTGGGGTCGACAGCGGCGGAGAGGCCGTGGGGGCCGAAGGCGAGGTGCAGCACGACCTGGCTGAGCGGCACTCCCTGCATGACGGGCGGCTGCCCCGTGGCCAGCTGCAGCAGCACCACCCCGAAGCTGAACGCGTCACTGCGCTCCGTCAGCACCTCTGATTGCGCAAAGGGTGCGGGTCGATGTAGCCCTGACAGTAGGAAAGGGGGAGAGGGTGTGGGGTTGGGGGGAGAGTAGCGGTTGGGGACAACATAAGTCATTTGACTGCGAAAGTGAAGTAGATGATGTAGTCTCGGGGGGTGGGGGAAGCGGGAGTGGAGCAGGGGAGAGATGGGTGTTGGTCAGCATTGTGAGTCGACTGCGCATAGTGCGGTTCGATGTCGACACCACAACAGGGGGAGAGGGGGGCGGAGGGGAGCAGGGGGGAGGGGTGCAAACTGGGTGCATGTGGACTATCGGGGAGGGGGGAATGGGGAAGAGGATGGGGGACTACGTGGGCAGGTGAAAGGAGATGGATAGAGGAGACAAAACACAGACGCCCTCAGAAGAATTAAAAATAGGAGCATTAATATGAAGAATGCGGCAATACATGTTTTGCCGTTTGTTGTCAGCAGCAGCTTTAGCGCGGCGTACTGCGACCGCTTGCCTTGGGAAGGCGGGGAAGCTTGGGCGGCGGAAGATGTGGAAGGTACGGCGGAGGATGAGAGGGAAGAAGCGGGGGAGGGGAGGCGGGGGGGGGGGGGGCGTGTGGGGGAGTGAGGGGGGGGGGGGGGGGGGGGGGGGGGAGCAGCCGTTGCGCATGCGTTGCCGGCGCCTTCAACGGCGGCGTTAGTGGCAAATTTAGTGGTACGGAGGAGAGGCGCGGAAGAACGACTGACTCCGTCGGATGGGATGTGACGGGCGAGAAAGGGAGATGCAAAACATGCGTGCTAAAGCGGCGCATGTCCGGCGGCGACACGCACACCCGGCGACATGGGTAGCAGCGGTAACACGTGCATCAGTCGCGGCGAGAATGGCGGTTCTGTGAATTGCTCGTCGCCGTGATACATCGCTTATGCGACGCTCGACGACGGCGGCGATGGGGACGACCCCGACGAGGTCGAGACGAGAGACTGTCGCCCGTCGTTGACGAGTCGCGAAAGGGACACGTGTCAGCATTTGATAGCTTCGAGCGCCAGTGATTCTAAAGCGAGTACGTCTACTGGAATTTTGACTTCTACTCTGGCTCCAGGCAAGCGACACGTGAAGGCATGCGAGCCGCTGGCTTGTGAACGGACCGCAATGCGCGGACTTGCGTGGCAGCATGGGTGGAGATGTTAGATCAACGAATCGCACGAATGTTAGAAATTAGGATGTCTAGACTCTAGAGAAAAACTACGAAGTAAGCAGTAGATTTCACCTTCGTGCTGGAAGTAGTACCAGCCATCCTCATTTGTAGTCATAAGTGTGTTTGTTCGCTTGTTTTGCGATCCTGTAGGAGCATGTGTTATATCTTCGTATACATCTATATCAAATAGTTGCTCCAGGACGGGCTCATAAACAGTTACAGCGTTAAAGAGCGGCTACTAAAATATACCAGCAATCAGAACTCCCACAGTTACCCCTACTGAACCTAAAAGCAACTATTGTAAGCAGAATAACTAAGGCTTCTGCAGTTTATCCACGCCATGGATAACAAAAAGCTTCCCCCTGAAAAGCTTGGAACGCTTGATTTTCGCCTTCTTCTTCCCAATAAAAGCCTTCCACTTCTTAGTAAGGCGGTCCAATTGAAAAGCCTTAAACACCTTGCGACCGTTTCCGTCCGTTAACACCTTGGCCTTTTTTATGCCATCCTCGTCGTAGACCCCGTTAAGCATGTTAGCCCGGATCATCGAGACATAGGAGCGAACCTTTTGGCGAGGCAGACTGGGATTCATCAAATCGGCGAGGGCACCAGGGGCCGCGGAAGCAATTGCATTGTCGTCAGGTAACAGAATGGTTTTGCCTTCGGTTGAGGCGAGGAAGTCGTCCGTTGGGTTCCAATTGGTCTCTGAAGCACACGAAGAAGAACGTGATGAGAAGACAACCAAGGCAGAAAAGTCAAGAGACAGGAAACATCCTAGGGATGAAACAAAACGTGTGAATACATTCAATATCTTCGCTAAAGTAGAGCATCTTTGTACCTAGTTGAGGGATGAGAGTGTCAAGAAACACGGCGCTGGCGCGATATTGGCTACTCAGTTCGGGGTCGTCAAGCGTGACCCGAACGTTCTTCACCTCCGCAATCACCTCCTCCTTGGTGGGCCGCCCCGCCGCAGCAGGCGCCAGCAGCAATGCGAGCACAATGGCAAAAAGGGAAAGCTGGCGTGACGAAACCATGGTGCAAGAGCTGAGTGGGGTGAAAGAAACTGGAAAGTGTGTCTGATGGGGAATAGATCATATCACCATTCTCTCTCTGGCTCTGAGGCCGTCCGATTCCTGCCTGGGGTGGGGTTGGGGGGGCGGAGGGTGGTGGGGGCAGCGGAACCCGTCAACACCTTTCAAACTTGTGAGTCACAAGGGATGGTGGTGCGAAGCCAGCACACCAGAAGTGGTTGATGTTTTTCTCCCATTCAGCTCCAGGTATCTGCGGTCACTTAAAAACTCTCCGTATATGCGCCGGGGCCTTTTTTTAGGTTCTCTATCCACATCGAAGTCATACCATTAAGGGGTTGATATAAAGAGTAATACAGCTGATTTTCACTCTTTTGGCACCTGCCCTTAGAGTTTAAAACAGTTGTGGCTGGGGTAGGCTTGATATTCGTGTGCTTCAGGTGCGGCTGCCAGGGGCAAACACGAAGTACTGTTGCCCGGCAAGCACGCAAAATTTTAGGGCGGGAGCTACAGAACGAAACCTAAAGCCCTTCGAGCCTTGTTACGGTTGGACGAGCATGTGGTAACAGTGTATACCGAGGCGGAGAGTGGCAGTCGTTTAGTTCAAATGCACATGGTTACCAAGTGAAATGATCAAATGTACAGTATTCATGCCCACTCGAGAAATGCGCGCGTCGACGACATACGCGAACAAGAATTGCAGTTCGACACGACCCTTTTGTGCAACAAGACAGATCAAATTCCTGCACAGGCGACAGAACCAAAACCGCACTTCAGTATTTTGTCCTCGAGAGTTTTGCTCAATCCCGCGGAATCGCGGTTCGTTTTATTATCGCCACGTGGCATGCCTTCGATCGCGTGAACCGCGATCTGTTTTATTGTTATCACAAACTTTAAAATTTATTTAGCTAAGTTCTGTATTGTACTGCCCGTCGACAAAAATAAAACCCATTCGGGCCTGCCATGCGTTAGGGAGGCATCAACCCTAAACACCTTGCCTCTAGGTGTTTAGGGTTGATGCATCCCTACCACATACCTTACCTATAGGGGTTTTATTTTTGCCCTCGGGCAGTGTAATACAGAACTTAGCTAAATAAATTGTGAAGTTTGTGATAACAATAAAACAAATCACGCTTCTCGCGATCGTTGTGCTGCCACGTGGCGATAATAAAGCAAACCGCGCTTACGCGGATTTGAGCAAAACTCTCTTTGTCCTCACTACGCTCTTTCGAGTCGCACTGAAAAACACCCGCGACGCGAGACTTGAAGGGTGATCCGGTATAAGGCCCCGCGCCAAAGTGCTCCATTTTCAATATAGTTCGCTTGTGGGCAGTGCAGAAGGTAGAGAAAAGGGCCCTATCCACACAATATAGAGCTAGACAAGCTAGTATTATCACGACCAAGATGCCCGCCATGGATTCTACCGCTACTTTGACCTGGTCTATGTCTGACAATTTCTTGGCCGATTTCAGATTTTCTTTAACGAATGGATTCCTCACGTAGTGAGCTTCACGCGGATATCTTTAAAGTGTTGATCAATGGAACATTGAGACGCGTATGCCAGTTGTCAGAAAACCGGGCCGGACGTGTTTGTCGCCGAACGTATTTATCATTTGTCGTCGTGAAATGCGGAACTGTCGCGCGCTAATTGCAAGCCTGCGCATCACATTTTCGAAGTCGCACGCGGTGCCAAATGTCCCCACATGCTGCATGTACATGGACAACATTCAACAGACACAACAATCCCTATCAACGCGTTCAATGCAGCGTGATTGGTCTACAGAACACACACGGAATTGTTAACAGTGTTGGTGTGTGTGATGCGGCAGATGAGTGTGCCTCCATCAAAAATGACCAATCAGACCCGTTCACATATAATTTTCGCCCTGGTCGTGCATGGTCGCAATACATTGGTCGATTGGAACATGAGGTCCTGAGGCATTTGAGGGCGACTCGGGCCAAAAGTGATTGGGACACTTTCTTTGAGTAAGTGTACAGCGCGGAATGTACCCTGATTCCACTAATGCAACTCCAGGGTCTGCCTTTCGTGAAGCAACTAGCTGGCCAAAGAAGTTTCCATATGACATGTCACTGTCGCGCTACTATCAAGGCGAGCAAGGACTCACGACTAAGCTTCATGATTTCACCTTATCCTGGCAACCTTCTCATGGATTTCTCAGTGTCAGAAAGGCTACGGTTCTGAAGTCGCGGTACGCATCAAGCAAATGGACAGCAAGTTTTCAGTCATTGCTCATATTATAGTCACAGTAGGCTTCAATGTGCCTAGAACCAAAGATAGAGTGCGCAGTCAGATTTCTGCACAGCGAACCCTTTTTTACAAGCTTCGAAAACACTTGAAGCTTGAAACCAAGGCTCGGGTTCTTCATCACAAACTCAACCTTGAGTTCTTGATGGGTCTGCTGCACACACCTGCGACACACTGAACGTCCGACATAGGACAAAACAAAAACCACGCACGGAATACACGACAAAATAGAAACCGCGCGCGAGACACAAATGACCGCATTGACACGCGGCTAGCGATAACTCGCTATTGACTCGACACACACACTCGACATTATGACCCATCATTCACACACCATTATAAGCATGAAATATATATTTATTTCATGCACTCATACCACTCCATGCACACATGCATGCACGCACACGCACACGGACAACAAGCCGAGTGCAAACCGTAGGGTTGCACCAACAAACTCCCCCTCGGATTGTTGGCCATAAGATCTGCTCCTCTCAGTTCATAGCCATTCCGGCCAGCTTGCAACACTTCCAATGCTGCTGCTCCACCAGCCTCTTAGTCATCATGTCTGCCGACTGCTCCGTCGTCTTCACGTAGCGCAGCTCAACTTCACCCGCGGCCACCATGCTCCTCGTCCAATGCCACTTCACCCTCATGTGCTTGGTCAGGCCGTGTAACACAGGGTTCTTGGCTAGAGCTATGGCTCCCTGGCTGTCACAATAGAGAGGAGTAGGTCCTTGCTGCTCCTCCCCCAATTCAGCCAACAAACGCCGCTGCCACACAATCTCCCGTACCGCACGGAAGAGTGCCATGTACTCGGACTCCACCGAGCTCAAAGCTTGGTCAACCTGCTTCTTGCTTTCCCAAGCAGTTGGACCTCCACCAACACAGCAAATGAACCCTCCAACACTTGTCATGTCCTCTGGTTCTGATGCATAGGAGGCATCCGAGAATGCGGTGAGGAACAAACGCCCGGGTTCCACACCATCCGCGCCCTTTTGGCGCCTTTGTGCCGCTGCCGAATATTGCAGCCCAACGGTCGGTGTTTGGCCAAGGTACTTGGCCACCCTCATTCCAGCTGCTACCTGCTCCTCATTAGGGCATTGGACAACCCTTGCCAGCTGCCCGGTAGCAAACGCGACATCCGGTCGTGTGTTGACCGCCGCATACATGAGGCTGCCCACCAATGAGTGAAAACGGCGCCTCTCCTCTTCACCCACGCTCTCCTCCTCTAATCCCTTCACACACTTGAACCTAGAGGGAAAGGGTGTAGCCACATGGCCTTCATTCTGCCCAAAGTTGGCAGCCAATGCCTCCAGGTACTTCCGTTGGTGCACCCGCATGCACCGCTTCTCCACGTCGCGCTCGATGTGAAGCCCGAGGTAAAAGTTCACGTCCCCAAGGGACTTGCACTTGAACTTGTCTTGAAGCTTCAGCATCACCTCCTTCACAAGGTCAAAGGAGGGTGAGAAGATCAGGATGTCGTCCACGTACACCACCATGAAGCTCCTCTGCTCCCCCTCGCCAAGCATGAACAAGGAATGATCGGCCGTTGAGGGAGTGAAGCCGATCTCCTCCAACACTTCACGCAGCTTCAGGTACCATTGTCTAGGGGCCTGCTTCAGCCCATAGAGGGCCTTCTTCAGCTTCCACACTCTGTCGATGCCATCGTCAAACCCCTCTAGCTGCACCATAAAGATCTCCTCCTCTAGGACGTCGTTGAGGAATGTCGTTGTGATATCCATCTGCTTCACCACCCATCCTTTGATGGCAGCTCCCGCGAGTAGGGTCCGCAGCGTTGTAGGCTTCACCACGGGAGCAAATATCTCCTTGAAGTCCACCATTTCCTTCTGCTGGTACCCCTTGGCCACAAGCCTAGACTTGTAGCGCTCGATCTTGCCGTCGGCGTCCGACTTGATTTTGAAGAGCCACTTGGACGTTATCGCCGTACGCCCCTCCGGTAGCTCCACCAATTCGTACGTGTCGTTCTCCTCAATGCTCTTCAGCTCACTCTCCATTGCCTTCTTCCACTCCTCAGCATCACCACTCTCCAAGGCTTCCTTGAGAGTTGCTGGTTCTCCCGGCATCTCCACCGGAGAGAAGAATGCGAAGGCACACTCCTCGTAGTCACTCTCCTCGTCGTCTCCGACCATCATTGCCGCTCCAGTCAAGGCCGTCTTGCCTTGCTTTCCCGGTGCATCATAGGTCAGCCTATTGGGGGCTTGAACCTTCCTCTTGACCCTTCCTTCCTCCTCAGCTGCAGGGACTTGAAGGCCTTGGCGTTGCTGCGGTGTGGTTCGATTCCGTGGAGCGCTCGTAGTGCGGGAATGATATGTCGGTGCACGCTCGATCACTTGCTGCACCTCCTCCTCTTCTTCCTCCGCATCCTTGGCCTCCTCTCCCCCATTCACAAGGGAAGATTGCCTTGTGGTGATGCTGCCGCTGCTCAGCACCAAAGGCAGCTCCACGTGCTCCAACCCGGAACTCTTCACCTCTCCAAACCGCACGCCTATCTTCGCCTCATTCTCCGCCTTCCAACTATTGTACATGAAGTTCTCCATGAACTTGCAGTCCCTGCTCACCAAGAACTTCTTGGTGAATGGGTCCCAAAGAAGCCACCCCTTGCTGTTTTGAGCCATGCCCAAGTGCACGGCCCACACCGCCTTAGCACCAAGCTTGTTGTGCCGAAGATGCTTAGGTACGAGCGCCATGCACATGCACCCGAACACCCGAAGCATATCCACCTTTGGCTTCCTTCCAAGCCACTCCACATAGGGCACCCATTTATCTGCTCCCACATGAGTCAAAACTC